GGTATAGAAACACTTGACTCTTGAAGTTTTTAACTCGTACTTGAAAGTTCGACATTTTAATACCTCAGTCTTTGTGTCGACGTCTTTATCCTTAATCTGTCATATAGATTGCGTTTAATCGCACTCGCTGAGAAGTCTTCGTGTTAATAAACTTTTGTAATACAAGATAACATATACTATAAATACAACTTTCTTTTAGAGCTATTTCAAGCCATGCTAAATGAGATCGATCCCGAGTGAAGAAAACTTTACGACTGAAATTAGAGTGGGGATAGCTGTGGATCCTTTCAAAAAGAAAAGGGTGAAAAAGTTCAAGTAGCAAAGTTTGGTGCCTTGTATAAGAAAAGAGAAACTTTGAAAAACAATAATGGTAGACTAAAATAAGCGCGTGGCTGAAAAATATACTCAAAATAAAATGAAAAAGTCCAAAGTCGTTTATGTTAACTTTTCTAAAGAAATGCTGCCCATGAACCATCAGAACAAAGCCGCTGTGTTTACAAACACGAAGCGGGAAAACAGCTGACTCGAAAAACCCTATGTTAAACCTTTTATTAGAAGAAAAACTCGAATGAATAGCTTTTCAACCCGCTCACGCATGAACTACTGTTAATTGTTAACAGCAGGAGTGAGATGTGTTCTCATCAATTCTACAATATTGTTTGTTTKTTTTTCTCTCAAGGGGACGTTCTAGATTAAAGGTATTGTCCAAATGGTACTCGACGTTTTAGAGAATATGCGACAGTTTTTGAGTTAAATATGAATGCGTAAATACTCCGAATACACGAGGTCAAAGACTGAAAGACATTTTGGAATTCCTAACCAACCTGAAATGATCAAAATACTGAGATTACGAGAAAGATTCGATCATTTAAAAGACATTAGAAATCGCTACAGCCAAACAAAGTCTATGCCTTAAGCTTGAAAGAAGTGATTTCTGTAACTGTTAATTATGTTTGGGGTAAAAATAGCTCATTGCGCCAAACAAGTGATACAAGTGATAGGACTTTAGCAGACACTTGAAATATTGAAACGTAAACCAGTTGTCATGACGGATGAATTCGTTAGTCTTCAAACGCCCTGAGGCAATGCTTAAACAGAGTTTGTTGATTAATTCCGCACACTTCTCAGCGTTCCTACATTTATTCAGGATTTACACATTTTAATGCAGTTCCATTAATTGACGCCAGACTACTAAATGGAAAGGAATATCATGGACTGTTATTAGGATCTAACTATGTGGACGATAATCGCTAAGTGATTGATGCAATACAATCAAGTCGTCTTGAATTAGACTAATCACGTGACTGTACTACCTAAACGAAACGCGGGAAATCATGGAAAGTAAGAGCGTCTAGTCAAATATTAACTACAGTACTCCATACTTCTCATCATACAAACAATAAGTATTTCTATCTCAAATTAAATGGTAAATATATTTTTGAGGCGGTTTTTTGTTAATCTCATTAACTGAACAAGCATCAAAGCCAGCACTAACTAAGAAAAAAACACACACACAATTAAACCACACACACAATTAAACCACACACACAATTAAACCACACCCACGCACACGCACAATTAACACACACACACACACACACACACACAAAACAGGATTTGAATGGATCGAAACTATTTGTCAATCCCTAAAATAGAGCTCTTGTAAATATAGCAAAATAGCTGAAGAACTTTCAATGGCTGAAGATTGCACGGTTGGCGCGTAGCGGTGAGAGCGTTTGCCTCTCACAGAGGCGACCGTACCTCCAGTGCTTTGAGGGTTTTTTTCCGGGCGTTTTCTGGTTTTCTTTCCTCTGCTAAAATCAACTTCTAAATTCCAATTCAGTGGCACAGTGGAGAGCCACAATATTATGTGAAAATGTCACAGTTAACTGATCCCGGCATTAGGAATAAAACATAATCTTTTCCTCTTCTCTAATCTTAAATATTGTTTTTCAACTATCACTCCCCGTACGGGGCTCTTCCGCGAGGTTCCCTCCACACGCACTACCACTGCATTTTATACTTACGACATACATCACTCAACTCACATGTTAATTTTCACGGAGGGAGGAAACCGGAGAACCCGGAGAAGGCCCTCGTAGCATGGGGAGAACAACACATCAAACAAGCTGACATATGAAGCAGTATGAGCCATCGCTCGAGCCCGGATCACGGCGGTGAGAGGCGAACGGCAAGCCCCTACACCACCTATGCCACTCCCCCCCAAAAATGAAAAGTTTCATTCTATAAAAGTAAACTAGGGGAAACAGTGCGTGCTTGTCGTATATATAGCGAGTCGAATATAGAGTAGTAGTAATATGTATGCGTGGAGCCTAATGGGCGCAGCAGGGAGTCCAATCATGGCGGTGCCTTAAATCCTGAAAGCACATAAAGCTGACAGTATATAACTATGTCTCAGATGGTTTAGCAAATCCCCGCATAGGTCCAAAGTACAACTGACCCAAGTTTGCTTGAGAAGCCTGCGTGCACCCAGCCTTTTCTCTGTCAAGTCACGCAGAAAGGAGTTGTCTATCAGACACTTAATTCTTGAGGTACAACTTTGTACCGTTGGAGTACGATTACAAAAATGAAGGCCGCTCGGGTCAGTAATAACGGGCACGTTTCTACAGAGATGTTTGCTTAGACAAATCCACGAGGACGAGACCCATTGTTAACCGACCGGCCGCTTATTGCAGGGTAAACCTTCCCAGCTACTCAACGACTTCAGATACTCCACTTCTGACACTAGCTCCGCCACAAATCATGAATGGCAATGGAAATGCTATCTACATTTTTAGATTGCTTCAAATATTAATTCTCTTTTTCAAGCCCCAAGAAACGGTCACAGGCTCTGGAACTATAATTTACTCCCAGACATAAGTGTTTGAAAATTCACTGAATCCCTTGCTTTGTTTATTTTTCCATTATTATGTTATTTCATTTTTCCATTAGTTTATACCAGTTACCTATAATTTATCATTGTGGATTCTTTTGGTTTTATTTTGTATTCTTGGTGTGTACCAACATAGCTTAACCAAGTAAATAAACTAGACTAGAAGACTAGTCTAGTAAGTAAGAGTTAGTACTAATTGTAAATCTACATAACAGCTAGCCCGCGTGTAAAACTAACTATACAGTGACAATAATATAAATATATAAAACAAGAGTTTTCAATTTTTTAAAGTCAGAGACAAATAAACATCTTCGAGTATTATCATGAATCCTGATTTCAATGATTCTAGTATATTGAGGAATATCTGTATGGATAATTCTAGTGATAAAATTATGTAGTAACTTACATATAAATAAATATATGTATAAATATATAAATAAATTGAAATATGTAAGAGTATATGTACTACAGAAAAATAGTCATAAAGATTACAAAACGACGTTATATATCCTTCACATTGACGGTATAATGGTATTCTTAAAACGAATAGTGCGGAAATGTGGAAGATTGAATCTATGCCTATGACACTAAAGTCGAGAGCTTCGAGTTTCCACCAAACTAGCAAACTAATTTAAATGCATACGTAAACACGTACTTCAGTAGAGAAAACGATCAAATATTGATTGATGAGATTCTTATATATGAATAGAAATATGGGGAGTCAGCCCTCAATCCTTTGTTCCTGCCAAAGGGCGGTTGTATATTGAGTTTTAATTACACATGGCGCCGGCCAGACGTTACTTCCATAAGTGAAAATTAAAATAATTTACTCTTAAGGACGGCGACACAACGGCTCAGTGGAATGTAGACTCATACATCACTTAACCGAAGATTAAAATATTTAGCACCTGCAACTTTTTCTTCAACAATATTAATTATTTTTCCAAGACTAAACATTCTTCGTCTTTTAGTAAAACGAAAGTTTGATTGCCTTTTGCAGTGCCGCCCTTTATTTCATGACTTGGTAAACTTTTTTGATTGTCGTCCATGTGAGCAATGAGAGATCTATGACTAAAATACGAAATATAAAAGGTATTTGATAATAACATGTTCAAGACAGTACGTCCGCTGTGATTGGTCACCATTAAGAACGTAATTTTCTATTTTCGAAACGCTGTTGTATATCCAAATCTTTTATTTTTATAAAGAACTTAAGTCGCAACTCGCAATTTCGATTCAAATAATTAATTCGTAACCTCCACTTTTAGGCAAAATTACTTTAGGTTTTCAAGTTTTCTTCGTGCTGTAGAATTATGGAATATCTTATCAAAGGACTGTAAAAGCTGTGCTCTCTATCGTCGCTTATAAGTCATAAGCTCATTACACTCTGTACAAACTTCCGTCCTACCTTTCGCCGTAATGTTTGCATTTGTGACTCAATTTTTGTGTACATTATCAATTTTAGATGTTTTCATTTCTCAATATTATGTTCTTATTTCTTGCTTCATTTGTGTCTTATTTCTTTTACTGTAAGGGGGCGGATGTCAATTGGGACTCTATAGTCCTGTTACGCCTCCTGCTAATTGCTCGTCTTTYCTTTCGTTATTTTGTGCTGTATTGATTGTAGTTTCTACCAGGCGTAATGTGTTTATTTGTTTATCCGCTTATTTAGTTTTCTTGGTGACGAACTCAATACTAAAAAATAAATAATAAAAAGTGTATGACTGACAACATTTACTGTGTCGACACACTAACCGGGACCTCTTGAATAAAACTGACCAATCAGATACCAGTAAACTAGACAGAGATTGAACTGATAACAGCATTAGCCAATCAGATTATAACGTTCTCACTTTCTTATTATAGTTATGCGCTATCTGATGGGCTGATAAAATATTGAACTAAATGTTGCAAGATGCATGATTGGTTAACGATACACTGAGTTTATCCTATTTTTTTCCGTTTGGAGTATCCGCACAGTAACTTCCGCGCATAGTGAAAAAAAGACAATATGAATATAACGTATCCCATATTATAACTTTTCTGTCATTCGCTGCGATATTAAAACCTTTATTTTATTAAGTTTTAAATATAACACTAAAATATTAATATAAATATAACTGTCATGGAAGAACTATTTACAAATACATATTGTTCGTACGCGTATGAATTATCATGGATGTAACTTTAGATATATACATGGTGTTTGTCGTTACTGATTACAAATAAACCTCTTTACCTTGGACGAAATATTTTCCTATTTCATACCACGTGTCATTCCCGTGAGAATGCGATTTGTTTGAGTTGTATCCATCTTCATGTGTCTTCTTATGCGCAACGCTTAAACAAAGAATCGATACTCTAAGGAATGACTCTTGGTCCGAAATGGGAAAAGATTACACCCAAGCCAAAGAGGTCTTTTAGATTTTCCTTCATTATGAATTTGTGGGTATCAAAATAGTTAATATATAATATTATTAACAAATACTGATATAGAGCAAATGACTTATGATCCTGAAGGATGATTGAGAAAACCTCATTGTATCTGATTGGAGGAAATTCAGGTTTTTTTTATTTGTTTCAAGCCATTCACATTACTTTGTATTGTAACAGCAGCAGATGGTAACAGACCAAGTGTCGTTAGATATTTCAGAATCCTGGAATGTTTGCACGAGGTTTTCTGGAATAAAACTCCCGATTGCCATTAAATTTTCACGGACGATAGATGACAAGTTTACAGCGCTTATCTACAGCATTATCGTCTGTGAAATTTAATGGCAACCTCTCAGTATATTTATCATACGAATGACTTACATTCATAAATATTCTCCCTATATTGCTAACGAGAGAGAACGCAATATGTAACAAATGGGTTGGAGGCAATACTACATATGTGACGTTGGTGTTGTACATATTGAACAAGCTTGCATTAGGGGAGGCGCCCGTGTTTTGGCGCGAAAACTTCCAATCTCCGAAGTCTATACAGCAGCTTTCTTGAATATATTAGTTAGCTGTAAGTTTCACGCTGAGAGTTCTGCTTTTAATGTAGAAAACTGGGAACAAATGTGTCTCGTATTTTGTTGTGCAGCTGAGCCAAGAGGTTACAAAAGCAAACACCCGTACCTCTTCACGGTCAATGAAAGACAATACTCTTCCAAGAATTACTTTGAACTTTTAGATGACAAAATATAAAATATTATAATCTATTTTGTCGATTTTTCAGCTTGATTACTCCCTCCAATCCATTTTACTTCAAGATCCAATAGACTATTTCTTTTCTCATTCAGCTAAATACCTTTGTGTGCTACAATACGATCTGTTCGGGAAGCTTATTGCTAAACATGTGTTCCAAAATGGTTGGTCTCACTGGCAATCAACTGATGCAACAGCGGTAAATACTCCAAGTTCTCTTTTCCTATGATATGCCGAATATTGCAGTCCATCTTCTTCTCTTTCTCAGAGAGAAAAACAGAATCATTCAAGTATTGGTAAGCATCGATAAACCGCTTTGTTCCGAGATTTTCTTCCAAGAATACTCTGACGGCTTCCATGTGTGCAAAGGCTGACTTGGCGTCTGTTGCATTTAAATGTAGAGTCTGTCCTCGGAACTTGAATTTCATTTCAGTATTATCATTTTTACTACTGGGTACTTTACTATTCTTTCTTATTTTCGCTTCAGTCTCCGCTGCTTTGGTAGCACRAGAATTATTGTTTTCTAATTCGGTCGCAGCCTTTGCCAAGAGAGAATGATTCGTAACGGCTGCGCATGCGCTATCTGGATTAACAGAAAATTCTCGCCGCGATGACCCAACGTCAACAGCCGCACTAATTCTTTTCGCTCTTCGTCGAGCTCTATCTATATGCGCCGCTTTAAGCGCATGGAACTTGGTTATAGACAGCTTTGGGTTTAAAAAAGTTGAATCAGATTTATGACGGCCACTGGAAGATGATTGGTCGATCTTGGTGTTTGAAGCCACTTCAGTTACTACATTCCTTGTCGCGTCTGGTACAGACATCAGTGGTAAACGACGAAACTGCGCAACTTTGTAAGTTTGGCATCGCTTGAATTCAGTCGGTTCGACCACTGCGATCTCTGCGTCTTTTTCTTGAAAAACTGCGGGGGCTTTAACTTTCGCTAGCACCTTGGAGCCAGCTTGTGTACGAGTTGCAGGATGGAGCTATACAAAAAGAAAATCGAAAATGAAAAGTGTGATATTGCTCCTGTCGTGGCAAGGATTTGTGTCTCAGTATAAACATATTTTAGTTTTTGTAAGTATATAGTCCATTTTAATTTTTCATTTAAAAGCTATAATTTTTTATCGATAAAACTTTAGAGGAATTGCAATTAGAATCAAGGGCTTGTCAAGAAGCATTTTAAATATTATTACATAGTGTCCTGGGTCCGGTTGTACGAAGCGTGAATAGAGCTATCCGGCGGATTATTCCTTATCCAGTAGATAAGTCAATGCTGTTTTCCAGCAAATTTATCCAGTAAGATTTGTCCGTCGGAAAGCGCTATCCAGGCTTCGTACAACCGGGCCTGGTTACCATCTGTCGAAGCATTTTAAATATTATTACATAGTGTCCTGGGTCCGGTTGTACGAAGCGTGAATAGAGCTATCCGGCGGATTATTCCTTATCCAGTAGATAAGTCAATGCTGTTTTCTAGCAAATTTATCCAGTAAGATTTGTCCGTCGGAAAGCGCTATCCAGGCTTCGTACAACCGGGCCTGGTTACCATCTGTCGAAATGAACATTAAATATGGCCTAATTAAAATCCTATCTTATTCTCCTAAAGTTCAATCGCTGCTTTACAGCCTTAATGCTAACATTCGGGTCAAAAATTGTGTTGAACAATAAAATTACCAATCAGTTGTTATTCTGAAAGAGAAAAACGTCGAGAGAGTGGCAATACGTTCGATTCTTCAGGACGATTCTAATAATAACTCAGCGTTACCACAGGGAGTCATCTCATGTAGGGTATGTGTATGATCTCGAGTTGATAAGAAAAGGAACTTAATAAAACCACCTGCAACTGGAAAAATGAAGAGCTCTTTTTGATTTAAGAGGCTGTCTCTGTAAGAACCTCATAACCATTTTGGATGAAAAAATAGATTTCTTTCAAACTTTGTGTGTGAGTGTGCCCTTCCAAGGTTATTTCCAAAACACATTTTGTTTTGTGT